TATCTATCTATCTATCTATCTATCTATCTATCTATCTATCTATCTATCTATCTATCTATCTATCATCTCATATGTATGTATGTATATATATATATGTATATATATATATGTATATATATATATGTGTGTGTGTATGTATATATGTGTATATATATATATATATATATATGTTATATTTATGCTGATAAATAAATAAAGGGAGATATATATTTATCAGCATAAATATAACAAATGTAACAAAAAGGCAACAGTAAAAAAAAATATTGGGTTTCTGTCTGGATGGTCTCTTGTGACGAGCCGAAGGACAGAGAATGGAAGTGTGACCTTCCTTCCATATTTGGGCATACCAGGGGTTGTAATTATCTAATAGATATAGAGATTATATATAATCTCCTCTCTCTCTCTCCCCCCCCCCTCTCTCTCATCTATCTATCCATCTATCTATCCATCTATCTATCTACCTACCTACCTACCTACCTACTTATGGCTCTGTGTGTGAGTGTGTGTGTTCCAGCATAACTCTGGAACGCCTAAAGCAATTTCAACCAAACTTGGTACACAGATAACAGTCTCTGGAAACAAATACTGGGTGTATGTGTGTGTTTAAGATTCCCCTAAAACTCCTCGGGGTGTGTGTTTCTGTTAAGATGCAGCCACTTGTGCCGTTAAAAGGCCTCTACTGTACTGCCGTAAAACGGCTTCTACTGTACAGCGCAGTGGAGTTGCCATGGTAACGGCTTTACAGTACTCCACAAGGGGGCTCCCTCTGGTAAGGGGGAAAATCCAACATGAGAAATTATGTTTGGTCCGGACATTTCCCCCCGCTATAAATAAACACCTGGGCAAAGCCGGGTTATTGGCTAGTTTGAGATAAAAAGCTTAAGTGGAATTGAACTCTGCTTTTCATCCCTCGCTCCATGTCTGGGCTTTACAATTTGCGTGGAAATTCTTAAAAAGAGAAGCAGTGTTTACGTTGCGGCTTAAGGTTTGACACAACAAATGTTTAGGCCTAGTAGTGCTTGAAAACCTGGGGCCAGTTTGTGTGTCTTATCCGATTTTTGTGATGGACTTTAGGGATGCAGGAACACTGCAGTTGTGCAGATTGTGATGTGCCGGATCCTGCATGTTGTGTGTTTTATGCCATCCTGCCAACTGAAGCTGTTCACCTTGGGTCGCTCCAGGATTTTGACTGAAGCTGAAGACCTCTGTTGAGTTCCTTAGAAATACAGGCAGTCCTCGACTTACAGCCACAACTGAGCCCGGAATTTCTGTCGTTAAGTGAGACATTTGTTCAATCAGTTTTGCCCCATTTCACGTTCTTCCTCGGCGCAGCTGTTAAGCGGATCACCGCAGTTGATACGTTAATATCCCGGTTGTTAAGTGAATCCCGTTGACTTTGCTGGTCGGCAGGTCGCAAAAGGGGATCGCATGACCCTGGGGACACTGCAACCGTTATAAGTACGCGCCAGTTGCCGAGCCTCTGAATTTTGACTACGGGAGCGGCTACAATGGTCGTAACTGTGAAAAATAGTTATTAAGTCACTTTTTTCAACGCCGTAGTCACTTCGGGCTGCGCTGAGGAAGGACATGAAATGGGGCAAAACTCATTGGAACAATGTCTCACTTAACGACAGAAATTTCGGGTTCAGTTGTGGTCGTAGGTCGAGGACTGCCTGTATTTCTAAGGAACTCGACACAACAAGCAAACTGTTGTAAGTCAAGAACCACCAAGATAACACCAGCTTGGTGATCTAGTCTGAACCTCAGTAGATCTCTTCGTTGATTTGACACATTCCTTAAACGGTTTCCTTTTTTTTTAAAAAAGTATTTTTTATTGTACATTTTCCTTTATTCCACATCACAGTTTCAATTTTGCAACAGCAGAATACTGGTTATATCAAATCCTTTTTAAATATACATGATGTTATACACCCTAATCTCGGCCAATTTTCCTTTAGTCATCTAGTATAATCTCTTTTTAAATGCATAATATTGTATGTCATAATTGTATCCTTTCTTTCCATGGTTGTAAGGCAACACTACACACATTTATCACTCTATACATTTCGATTTACAGTTGTGTACAGTCCGATAATAATATCACTTGCGATATATATTCTTCTGTATAGCTTTGTACCTGTATTTGTTTCTAGTTTGTTAATCTTCCTTCATTATCCACTTTCTAACCTCTGCATCTATCATCTAGCCCAGTGGTTCCCAAACTTGGCAACTTTAAGTCAGCTCTGCTGGCTGGAGAATTCTGGGAGTTGAAGTCCACAAGTCTTAAAGTTGCCAAGTTTGGGAACCACTGACTAGCCAATTCTACCATAAAATCCCATATTGAGTACTTTTCTGTTTCTCCTTTATCTTTTAAGTCCCATCATTAACCTGTCTATTTCGGCACACTCTAATATTTAGAATAGAATAGAAGTTGGAAGGGACCTTGGAGGTCTTCTAGTCCAACCCCCTGCTCAGGCAGGAAACCCTTTACCACTTCAGACAAATGGCTATCCAACATCATCTTGAAGACTTCCAGTGTTGGGGCATTCACAACTTCTGGAGGCAACTTCTGTTCCACTGGTTAATTGTTCTTGTATACTTCTTTTTTTTCCAATTTCATGCCTATGCGATTCTATAACCGCTGTTACTACATGTAACACTGAATTTCTAAATCTTAAAATTCTCCGTAGGGGTTGAGGAACGACCTGAAGGCAGCCTTGGATAAGATCGACCAGCAGTACCTGAACGAGATTGTGGGGGGGCAGGAACAAGGCGAGGATGACGCCCAGAATGACCTCAAGGTCCACGAGGAGAACACAACCATTGAGGAACTGGAGGTATGGCGTGACATTTCGCCCGGGGACAGTGCGCCAAGCAGGACCGGGGCAACAGAAAGCTACGCATTGTGGGAATTCCTGTTCCTGCTGCGTTGAACCAGGCGTGCCTTGTTTGGTTGGGATGAAGTCCAAAGGAACAACCTCGCTCCTCCAGTTATTAATTTATTAATTTATTAATTTATTAATTTATTANGAGGCTGGAGTCAACAAATGTGGCCCACAGAGGAAATTAAAGCAACATTTAGGGGCTAATTTAACCTGTGGTGCAGCACACAAGACTAATTATTTTGTTACCCTTAAGGTAAAAGGTAACACATATGTGCTAGTCATTCCTGACTCTAGGGGGCGCTGCTCATCTCCATTTCAAAGCCGAAGAGCCAGCGCTGTCCGAAGACGTCTCCGTGGTCATGTGGCCGGCATGACTCAATGCCAAAGGTGCATGGAGCACTGTTCCCTTCCCATCAAAGGTGGTTCCTATTTTTCTACTTGCATTTTTTGCCTGCTTTCGAACTGCTAGGTTGGCAGAAGCTGGGACAAGTCACGGGAGCTCACTCTGAGCTAGGGATTTGAACCGCCGAACTGCTGACCTTTCTGATCGACAAGCTCAGTGTCTTAGCCCCTGAGCCACCGCATCCCTCCTTGTTACCCTTAGATCTTCCCATATCGGGCAGCAAGTAATGCTAATTTACAAAGCAGGTTGATATTTTGCCTTGATTAAGGAAACACAATAACGTATGGATTTTAAAAAGATCTACCTTCAGAGACCAGAGTCCAGGCCAGGGAACCGTCGAAGGCCCAGCATCGTTTATCTGAAGAAGAAAAAAAATCAGGAACTCACTCAAGATGACCTCAAAGAGCTCACGAAACCACAAATTAACCCACCCAGTTCTGGCCTAGCAGGATGTCCAGATGCAACTTGATGATGTTACCTAGTTTGGATCATGAAACGCCTGCAAGAAAACAACAGAGCTCAGAGAGCACCAAGAATCCTACATTTGTCAACCTCACTGCCATTGTCCACCTCTTCCTCTCCCCTCCTCCTTCTCCATTCTAACACTGATGATGTTCCCTAGTTGGGTAATGAAATGTCTTCAACAACCAAGAGCACCAAGTTCAACCATAGTTCAAATCTCTGAGCAAACTCCACTCTCTTCTAGCACTGATGATGTTCCCTAGTTTGGGTAATGAAACGTCTGCAAGAAAACAACCAAGCTTAGAGAGTGACCCCTCATTTAAACTCTGAGCTACAAATATTCTCCTTTATTGGTAAATCCAGCCTGTTTGGTAAGGGGTTACTGGCTGTGGGTCAGAAATTTGGACTGCGGGATTGGATATTTACCTGTGGGGTCCTTCTTGCTCTCGGATCTTGGTGGGTTTTCTGCAGACAATTCATTAACCAAACTATTAAGAGCAAACACCCCCTTCTTTCTTGCACTGATGATGTTACCTAGTTGGGTCATGAAATGCCTGTGGGACTGCAACCAAGATCAGATAGCTCCAAAGACCCACCCAGGGATGAGTATTGTTTGCAAATTTGTCATTCCTGTTTGAAACACCCCCTCACATGTTTATGCCAGGAGCAGATTGGAATCTACCCTTCACCACATTTTACACCTATAAAATTACTTCGTTTCAACAAAACGGCTCCTAATAGAGTATCTCTTATTCAAATATATTTTGGGATAAGGATGATTGAATATGAACATTTAAAATGTTATAGCTCACTTTGCATGTATTGCAGAGTTGGGAAAGGATTGTTTATCACTCTTACGTTTAAACATGCATTGTTTAAAAAAGAAGAAGTAAAAAATGCAAGCGTTCGCTTAACACGATATCGTTTCTCTCTTTCAGGGAAATAAGAAATATTTCAAGCGCAGCGAGTTGGCGAAGAAGGACGAAGAGGCATATTTCAAAAGATGTGGATATAAGGTATTGGCTTGCTATTCAAGTCAGTCACGCCGTCTAGTTATGCAGTTTCTCTTTGGCCCTGTATTAAAATATATTAACCCCAGTTATTTCTCTCATTCTGTCACTTCTGCACTTTAGCCAGTAAGGGAGACGCCACCGAGAGAGGTATGAATTCCCGAGCTAAGTTTGCAACGCAGGAAGAGCTGTGCATGAATATGCAGCTATTTTGAGTTTTTATTTTTATTTTTACTTTGGCTTCCTGTGCCCAGGGCATGAGGCTGCTTGGGAATGGAGATGCTCTTATTTTCTTTACGTTGTGCCTACCAGGCATGCAGGGTGGACCTGATTCAATCCTCTTGAGCCAAGATCAGAAGCTGTTAAATTGCTGGCTTGATTTATTTTGCCTGTCAAACCCTCCAGATCTCAGCAAGTGCATCTCGTATCGATCGGTATTTTCCTGCCTCGAAAAGATACAGTTTTACAAAGGCAATGGAATAAAGAGCTTGTGTTTATTTGGATTCTCAGTCTCCAGGTCCTGGTTGTCCCAAAGGTGTGTTTTCTAAAAGGCAACTGGACTTCCTTGATTTTTCCCCCCTCTTTGAAAAATCATTCAGATCAATGATTGAATGAAAAATAAAACTTTTTCAAAGGAAAAAGCACTTTTGGAAAAAGCACTTTTGGGACTGTAAAAGCTTGTGTTTGATTGGCTAGGGGAAAATAGTAATAATATAGGATACTTCAAAACAGATCATCTAAAAGGGGGTGGTTTTTTCCTTCTTACCTCAAACTAAACAAAAGGGATGTGGGTGGATTAGTTTAGCATTCTGCTTTATGGATGGAAGGGAGATAAATTGACCGGTTCATTTCTCAGGAAGTAGAAGAAGGGACATGGAGAGAATGCATTCTGCCATTATCCTGACCAACAAGGGATCCAGTGGAATCTCTGGCAATTTTAACTGTTGACTTAGCGGCAACCAAAACTGATCTGGGACAGTTATGTATTTCAGATTTTAGGAAACTTTAGGACGCTTCTTTTATTCTGTTTTTAAGGCTTTTTTATTGATTTGAATTGTTCTGAGTCCCTCTCTTAGGGAGAATGGCTGGTTAAGTGTGAAAAGCATATAGAGATTATAGATGGATGGATGGATGAATGGATGGATGGATGGATGGACAGAAAGACAGATATGATAGATAGGTAGGTAGGTAGGTAGGTAGGTAGGTAGGTAGGTAGGTAGGTAGGTAGATGGATATATGTCTTAGATAGATAGATAGGTAGGTAGGTAGGTAGGTAGGTAGGTAGGTAGGTAGATNCCCCCTTTAATCATTTAATAGATTATTGTTCATGAATAATTTTTGATTGAGATGCATTGTAAATATGTAACGGACACGTGATTCAAAACTCTGAATGAAGGCCTCCTTATGGTCTCGAATACAGTGACATGGAGGCTCAGTGGCTACGACGTTGAGCTTGCCGATCAGAAGGATCAGCAGTTCGGTGGTTCGAATCCCTAGCGCCGCGTAATGGAGTGAGCGCCCATTACTTGTCCCAGCTTCTGCCCACCTAGCAGATCGAAAGCACATACAAATGCAAGTAGAAGTATAGGGACCACCTTTGGTGGGAAGGTACCAGCGCTCTGTGTGCCTTCTGCATTTAGTCATGCCGGCCACATGACCACGGAGATGTCTTTGGACAGCGCTGGCACTTTGGCTTTGAAACGGAGATCAGCACCGCCCTCTAGAGTCAGGAACGACTAGCATATATGTGCGAGGAGAACCTTTCCTTTATGGTCTTGAATATGTGCCTGATACAATTAGTCTTAGTTGTTTTGATTGTGGGAGATGAGGCATGATAGCTTCCAGTGGCTTTCTAATTGTCTTCTTTCAAAACTGGCTATGTATTAAATTTTAGGCAGCTGTTATCCATGCCCTGAAACTGTGGACGTGAAGTGCAATTGTGGTAAAACTGTTCTCAAAGTACCCTGTGGGAGAGAGCGTACCACCAAACCCCCCAGGTGCAAAGAATTCTGCAGGTTAGTATTCATTTGTTTTATTGTTATTATTATTTTTTAAATTAAACTTGTAGAGAGTAGAACACGTTTTATGTACTGGCAAAAGCTGTGAACTACTATTTCCAAATTTTAATTAACTGTACTTCAGCTTATAGCCACAAAGCCTTGTTTTGATGGCCTTTTGAAGGGGTGGGTTGCTTTGAGCCAGGGGTGGGCTTCAACCATTTTAGCAAGGGGTTCTCTGCCTGGTTGCTGGGTGCGAGTGGCCATGGTGGGCACGGCCTAGTCGGCCTCCTGCACCACAAGGGGGAAGGGGGCATTTTTGTCCTCCCTGGGCTCCGGAGGCTTTCCTCGAGTCTCTGGGAGGGTGAAAACTGCCTCCCCAGGCTCCAGAGGCTCTCTGGAGGCTGGAAACAGGCCCATTTCTGGCCTTCCCGAACTTCTGGTAGGGCCCGTTTGTCACCCTCCCCAAGCCTCCACACGCACCCTACGCTTACCGTATCCAAAACAGGCTATGCGGGGACTCCTGGGAGGGGCATGGCAGGGTGGGCGGGGCCAGCCAGGAGTGGGATTTGGAGGTTCTGTGAGCTGCACAGAACCTTAGCTAGAGGTTCTCCTGAACACCTGCGAACCCCCAACGGCCCACCCCTGCTTTGAGCCAGTGTTGACGCCTGGAGACCTCCTCAAATGGTCCGTGCAAGTTTCTTGGCAAGATCTCCAGCCTGCTCTCGCCTTCTTCCTAGGGTTGAGAGTAGTTTGCTGTAGTGATCAAGACACCAGAATAGAAACCAGGAGTCCATGAGTTCTAGTCAGTGGTGGGTTCCGGATCCCGTCACGGTACGCTGCGACGGGGCTGGGCGTCCACCAAGTGCACATGCGCTATGTACACTTGTGCACCATGCCCTGCAATGCTTCAACTGCTCGGTAGGGTCAAATGCGCATGTGCAAATGGCCCGGTAGGGTCAAATACCAGTAAGGAGAGCGGGCAGGCAGGTGGGTCCTCCACAGCACCGTACCGGAATTGTACCTGCTGCTCCCAGCAGGCACCGGTACACCCGTACCGGGACATACCGGCTGAAACCCACCACTGGTTCTAGTCCTACCTTAGGGCGTACCGGCTGAAACCCACCACTGGTTCTAGTCCTACCTTAGG